CAATTAATTAATTTGCTGAACATTTTTTTCTTTATTCTACAAATAAGGTATTTATGATGTAATTAAGGCACATGGTGTCTGTGATCAATTAATTAATTTGCTAAAAAAAAAATTCTTTATTCTACACTTTAATCACTTTTAAGTTTTATGCACATTACATTCTTGTGTGCTTCAGTGTGTGTGTACGTGTGTTTGTGACATTTTGAGTGCATGTTTGCGTGTGTTTGAGTGCATGCTTGAGTGCTTGCTTCAATTATGTTGCATGTTGATAGAGCCTTTTATGGATTTGTTTTTATATCGTTTATTGCCGTTGTTTGGCTAAGAATAGCCAGTTATGATCTATCAAATTTTGGAAAAAAGATAATAAAAGAGGATAACTGTTTTATTGATTCTCGAAAGGAAATTCCACAGGCCTTTTACAGCTTTTCCGGCAACCTCTCCCATACGAAAACGAGACAGTCATCTCCAGCTTTTCATTTTCGGAGGAAATCGCACCCCAGTGACATCAAATGCCACCCTTTTCCGTTTCCAATCAAGGGCAGATTTTCCAGCGCAAGTCTCCATCCATAATTCTCCCCTCCCCCCCCTCCCCCCCCATATAACATTTACCCATTTTATAACTCAAATGCAGATAGAGTGCAATGATTTAACTTTCCAGTCCATGTCACTCTAAAACGAAAACGTGATCATTTTCTCCAGGTTTTCAGTTTAAATGAAATGTCCACTCCCCGGCGACACCCGAGGGACGAATTCCACCCCTTGGCGCCATGTTTGGTGTCATTGGGGCGGAATTTTCAGCAATATGTGCGAGGTCTTTCTTCATTTGCTGTTATCTTATTATCATTTATGGCGGGGAATATTTCGCGAGTTTCTTTGTCTTTTTTTTTTTTTTTAGAATGTTTCATTTCACTCGTGTTTCGTTGGTTATTTGTTAATGTAAATTGGTCTTTATTCAGTCTCTCTCAATACTCGCTCTCACTGTCCGTCTGTCTGTACTGTCTGTCTGTCTGTGTCTGTTTGTCTGTCTGTCTGTCTGGTCTGTCTGTCTGTTCTCTGTCTGTCTGTCTCTCTGTCTCTATGTCTCTTCTCTCTCTCTCTCTCTCTCTCTCTCTCTCTCTCTCTCTCTCTTCTCTCTCTCTCTCTCTCTCATCTCTCCTCTCTTCTCTCTCTCTCTCTCATTCCCTTTCTGTGTGTGGTGTATATATACATTTATAAATATACATGTATATATACAATGTATATAAATAAATATTTATAGATATTATATAA